TCTTTGCTGGAGAAAACATACTTTGTTAGTTTCAGCATTTTTCATGTTGAGACCAAAAATAAGGGTCTTATCTTCTAATAGAAAACATATGATTTTTGAAAATTTTGTGAATTTTTTTTGATTTTTCGCTATCATATATATGTTTTTCCACTGACTGTTTTGCAGATTCGAGTTTCTCATAAGATTTTGCCTTAGAAACTTATGTCCTACCAAGTTCTTCACTGCTCTTGCATCTATGACATTAATTGGTAGCACTACTCCCTTGTCTCCTCCATATTTCTCGTCTATTCCCTTCGCCATTAAAAATTATGATTGGCCTGAGGGGAGTCGGATGGTTCAAAACGTTCAATATCAAACGCCGCCGCGAGGTTGAAATTCTTCACCATGTCTACGATTCCTGCTTTGTTCAGCCAATTCAAACTTTAACATCGTAGTCAGCAAGAGTGGTACAACTTTCTTTCTCAGATTCCCCTGCTCTCCGGCTTTCTTGGTGTCTCTCTTCTTTCCCTTCTTCACTGATTGTTCCGTCATCTCTTGTACGGTTTCCGTTGTTCATTTGTCGCGAACGGTTTCAAGAAACTTCTTGAAGACTTCTTTCATGGCTTTGTGGTGTGGATCTTCAGAGAACGACTCATCTCTTTGGGAACACTCAGTATCCTGAAAATACAGAATTAAAAATTGAGAGTTTTTTGAGAGCTGAAAATCCAATTCAAATCCTCCATTTCTGTCCAAAAACCACGTCTCTAGCTCATCTAGGAGCCGAGATACGGCGCTTTGAAGTTTTGAAGAGACACAGGAAGCTAGAGTGTCTCGTCGTCTGCAACTCTTACCTCGAAAACTTCGAATCGCTGTAACTTGGCTTCCAGACTTTTCAGAAAAATGAGTTTTAACTTTTGTTGAAAATTTAAAGTACTGCGAAATGTGCTAAAAAAAACCAACCAGGGTTTGCAAGGGAATTGGTATGCATGAAGTTGGGAGACACAGGGAACTCGGCAAAAAGTTCTTGCATAAATCGGATCAGCTTGTTTTTGAAAGTCTCTGCGTGCCCAGATGACAGTCCAATTTAGGTCTAAACTGCACATCCATTCGATATTGCAATTCTTCTGGTGACTTCAGTCTTTTGCGAATAATCAGAAGAATCAAAAAGAAGGGGAAGGATCCCAATCGGGGTTCCATGGGTAGAGAATAGTCAGAAGAATTAAGAAGTAGGATCCCAACCGGGGTTCCATTGAAGTGCTCTCGTTTAGAATTGATCGGGAATCATCTAGAATCATCCCAATCGATTCACTGCCAGAACTACATCAGAATGAATGTGGTTGTCTGGCCAATGCGCCCTTTTATACAGGGTTGGGGTCAGGTGGGCGTGGTCACATGGCTGATGACCAGCGTGCAGATGTCATTTGCCAGGTGAATGACATTTGAAAATGGAAAGGGCACCCTGGGAAGAATTAATGACCATGAAAAGGTACTTGAATGTGGTTTTAGGGTCCTTGAAAGACAATGAAAAGGTTAATATCTAAAAATGGATATAGCCAAGGTGCTAATGATTAAATTCCATGGTACAAGACCGTCTGGGAAAGTGAGAGACGATAATCACAAATTTGACTTGAGGCTATAGATGAATGACTTTGACTTGACCAATTTTCTGATTCATTTTGAATTTAAAAATATCAAAACAATGTCCGGAGTTTTTGGAATTATCAACAATCATGAAAGCTTCAATTTCGTCCAGAAACCATGTTTCTAGCTCATCTAGAACCCGAGATACAGCCATTTGAAGTTTTGAAGACAGTAAGAGTGTCTCGTCGTCTGCGTCTCTAGCCTCGTAAACTATAAATTGGTGTAACTCGGCTTCTAGATGAGCTAGAAAAATAAAAATTGGACAGAAATGTGTAAAAATAAGCAGAATTTTATAAAATCTCTGAATTTTCGAAAAAAAAAATAATTTTTTCCATAAAAAGTTTTCCAATGCAAACGTTTAGGTGGGCCTAAAACTTTTATACAGTTCCCCAAAAAAACAAACACTCTAGGTCTTCTAGAAGCCGAGATGAAGCTTGAGACTTTGAAAAAAGAGAAAATAAAAAAAAAAGAAAAAAGAGGAAATCTTTGAAAAAAGAGGAAATCTGAGAAAATAAAATTTTCTAAATGTTTTGAAAAATGATTTCCATCAAAAAAATTTTCAAGTTCCCATCAATTGATTTCCAGAAAAAAAATGAAAAATTTTATAGAAATATGGGAACAAAGAACTTTAAGTGCCAAAAACCACAGTTCGGGCATACGAAATACGGATCTTTTCAGTTATTTTGCAGCCCTGAATAAAGGATTTTGTACCACCAACAACTAGCGTTCTAGCTAATAGCCGTTCTAGCTGGGAGCCGAGATACACGAATTTGTAGTTTAGGAGTCTAGAGACGCAGACAACGAGACATTTCGTAGCGCCCCAATACTTCAACAAACATTATAAAACACTTTTCTGAAACATCTGCAAAAAATCATAAAATACACATTTCAAGGTTCATTTTGGTCCAAAAAGCAGGCTTCTAGCTCTTCTAAAACCCGAGATACAGTCATTTGAAATTTTAGAAGAGACGCAGACAGTCAGAGTATCTCGTTGTTTGCGTCTCTCACCTCGAAAACTTCAAATAGCTACATCTCGGCTTCTAGAAGACCTAGAATGTTCGTTTTTCTGGAGAAATGTATGAAATTTTCAGGCCCACCAACTATTCCATTTGAAAACTTGTTATGGAAAACATTTTTTTTCAAAAATTTAAATAATTTATTCTATTTTTCAAATTTTATTGAAGTCTACTCATTTTCACACATTTCCGTTCAAATTTCATCCTTTTAGCTCATCTAGAAGCCGAGTTACAGTCATTTGAAGATCAAGAAGCAAGAGACGCAGACGACGAGACACTCTAACTGACTGCGTCTCTTCAAAACTTCAAATGGCTGTATCTCGGGTTGTAGATGAGCTAGAAACCTGGTTTTAGGACGAAATTAAAGCATTCACGATTTCTGATAAATCCAAAACACTCGGGACATTATTTTGAAGCTGTTTAATCCCAAAAAAACAACTTTAAGGTCGACAACTTTAAGGTCAATTATTTTTTTTTTTCGAAAATTCAGAGATTTTATAAAATTCTGCTTATTTTTACACATTTCTGTCCAATTTTTATTTTTCTAGCTCATCTAGAAGCCGAGTCACACCAATTTATAGTTTACGAGGCTAGAGACGCAGACGACGAGACACTCTTACTGTCTTCAAAACTTCAAATGGCTGTATCTCGGGTTCTAGATGAGCTAGAAACATGGTTTCTGGACGAAATTGAAGCTTTCATGATTGTTGATAATTCCAAAAACTCCGGACATTGTTTTGATATTTTTAAATTCAAAATGAATCAGAAAATTGGTCAAGTCAAAGTCATTCATCTATAGCCTCAAGTCAAATTTGTGATTATCGTCTCTCACTTTCCCAGACGGTCTTGTACCATGGAATTTAATCATTAGCACCTTGGCTATATCCATTTTTAGATATTAACCTTTTCATTGTCTTTCAAGGACCCTAAAACCACATTCAAGTACCTTTTCATGGTCATTAATTCTTCCCAGGGTGCCCTTTCCATTTTCAAATGTCATTCACCTGGCAAATGACATCTGCACGCTGGTCATCAGCCATGTGACCACGCCCACCTGACCCCAACCCTGTATAAAAGGGCGCATTGGCCAGACAACCACATTCATTCTGATGTAGTTCTGGCAGTGAATCGATTGGGATGATTCTAGATGATTCCCGATCAATTCTAAACGAGAGCACTTCAATGGAACCCCGGTTGGGATCCTACTTCTTAATTCTTCTGACTATTCTCTACCCATGGAACCCCGATTGGGATCCTTCCCCTTCTTTTTGATTCTTCTGATTATTCGCAAAAGACTGAAGTCACCAGAAGAATTGCAATATCGAATGGATGTGCAGTTTAGACCTAAATTGGACTGTCATCTGGGCACGCAGAGACTTTCAAAAACAAGCTGATCCGATTTATGCAAGAATTTTTTTGCCGAGTTCCCTGTGTCTCCCAACTTCATGCATACCAATTCTTTGCATACCCCACATAAACTATGTACGTTCTCACTGGTTGGTTTTTCTCACATTTCATAGCGCTCTAATACTTCAACAGACATAATAAATTACTTTTCTGAGAAATCTGAAAAATGTCACACATTTTACAAAAAGTTTGACGTTTCTAGACTGTTTGGGAGCCGAGATACAGCCGTTTGAAATTTTCGAGGTAAGAGACGCAGACAACGAGATACTCTAACTGTCTGCGTCTCTTCTAAACTTTCAAATGACTGTATCTCGGATTTTATAAGAGCTAGAGACGTGGTTTTTGGACAGAAATGAAGGATTTGAATTGGATTAACAGATTTTCTTTATTTTCATCAGATTCCTTGAAATTGAAAATTTCAGCTCTCGCTGGAAAACTAGATATTGTCAATTTGGAAATTCACACATTTCTGTCCAATTTTCATTTTTCTAGCTTGTCTAGAAACCAAGTTACAGCGATTTGAAGTTCTGGAGGCTAGAGACGCAGACGACGAGGCACTCTTACTGTCTGCGTCGCTTCAAAACTTCCAACAGCTGTATCTCGGCGCCTACTGGTCCGTTTTGACTAGTTTTTTGTTAGGAATGCCTAAAATTGAATGACGAGCCCAATGATATCAAAATTGTCATAAGTTTGAGAGACTTTAATAAACTGATTTTTCAATTTTCAAAATGTTTCAAATTTTTTTTATTCAGAGCGACGAAGAGATGGGACCACTCGATTTGATGCACATGCTTCGTGAGATCCGGAACAAGGAGAAGCGGATCAATCGCACGTTGGACAGTTTTAAAGCAAATGTCAATGATACCCTAATTCAATCCCAATCAATCGAAGCAGTCCGCCTATCAACGGAACTCTGCTTCAGAATGGCTGGGCTGATTTTAGACTCGAATGATGTAAACGCATAAACAGCCTTCCTCTGGAAAAGCGAGCTCTTTTGAAGTATTTAATGGAGGACGCAGTTCTTGGTAAGCCATTATGAAAATTTTGAATCTCCACACACTACCTGTCAAAAAAGATATACAAAAACGTATTTTTTTTCAATGGATTTTCGGCTAGTTCGACCATTTCCGACAATCTGAAGCTAGTCTGTCAAGTTTTCGATCATTGAGAACTTTGAATGGTGTAAAGTATATCTAGATAAAAGACTTTGCACTAAAAATTATTTTTTTACTCCTAGTTTTTAAAGGTGGGGGGACAGGAGATTTTTCGTAGTTTTTTTGTAGCTAGAGTATGCATTCTACCGTGACGGTGTACAACGCTTAATGTCACTCTGCGTACAGCTGTCGTCCTCGTCTTTATGTATGCAATCGGGCGTGCGCTTTCTCTTTGCCCGCGTGGCTCAGTCGGTAGCGGCGCCGCACCCTCAATCCTCACCCTCACAAGTTCAACTCCTCGAGGGGCATCTTTGAACGGAATTTCGAGAACATTATTTTTTTCATGTCCCCCACCTTTAAGCCATTCACCGATTTCTGAATGACACCCTCATTTTTCAGTCCGTGTTTTATTGAAAAACAAAAACTGGTGTCTTTCAAAAACCAACAAAATGGTGAAAAACTGGAAATTATCAAAAATTGGTGTGAACAGCAAAGTTTTCATCTAGTATCTTCTACACCAGAGATGTCAGGAATTCAGACTTCCGTCTTCCGACTTCCGAATTTTGGGCTTTTTTTCGCTTCCGACATACTCGTTTGAAAATTAACTTCCTACTTCTGACTTCTGACTTTCGAAAAAACGCACTTTACTTCCGACTTCTCAAATGTCCCCAAAGACTTTTTGCAGAAAAATTGCGAAATTTGTCCGTTTTCGATCAGAAAAATTTTTAAAAACTGCCGAAATTACCCCGAATAATAAATTCACTTCCAGATAACTCTGTTCTACACCCTCCAAACTTTTCGATTTGAACGGAAACTTGACATCAAGATGTACTCCGAAAGTCGAATCCAAGGATCAAGATGGCCCCTCAGCAAGTTGATTTAATTTCTCTCAAGGCCACTTCGATTGCTCCTGAGATCGCACCCAAAAATAAGATAATTGAAACTGCTGCGTCTTCCACTCAAAAGGTGATCCCAATTGTTCCGAAAATCGCCCCTCATGATCAGAAGATTGGAAAGGCAACACTGTCAGCTCAGCAGGTGGAATCCTCTACTCCGAAGGCCGAAATCTAAGATAAAAAAGTTGAAACAGCTGCATCGTCAGTTCAAAAGATGTCACTACCCACTTCGAAGGTTGCACGCGAGGATCAGGATGCTCCATCGAACTCCAGACTCTTGAAAACATTCAAAGTTGCCGAGAATCGTCTAGAACATAATTTTGTATATCTTATTGACGGAAACTATAAGACACTTTTCGGTTCGTTTTATCGTTGAGACTCGTTACTTGAAAAACAGAACCTCAGCTCTCAAAAAACTCTCAATTTTTAATTCTGTATTTTCAGGATACTGAGTGTTCCCAAAGAGATGAGTCGTTCCCTGAAGATCCACACCACAAAGCCATGAAAGAAGTCCTTAGCGACAAATGGACACCGGAAACCGTACAAGAGATGACGGGGAACAATCAGTGAAGAAGGGAAAGAAGAGAGACACCAAGAAAGCCGAAGAGCAGGGGAATCTGAGAAAGAAAGTTGTACCACTCTTGCTGACTACGATGTTAAAGTTTGAATTGGCTGAACAAAGCAGGAATCGTAGACATGGTGAAGAATTTCAACCTCGCGGCGGCGTTTGATATTGAACGTTTTGAACCATCAGTGAAATTGCTCATTGTTATCAATAAATTTCTATAGTATATGAAATATCCTGTTTTTTCACTGTCTTGGTCACGAATCTCCGAAAAGTAGTTTCTGGAAATGTGAAAGTTGAAGTTTGAGGCTTCAGATGATTCTAGATGATTCTATATAATCCTAAACGATTCTAGACAATTCTAGATGGCTCTGGAGGGTTCTACACGGTTCTACACGATGCTCGAAAAATTTATTGGCACAAAATTTATTGTGATTTTTTTGAAACTTTTTTTTTCCAAAAATTCGAAGTATTCCAAATATTCTGAATCTGCTCAATATGGTCCGTTTGGGTGGTCGTGATATCTTGAATCTTTCGAATCCTTAAAACTTTTGTCGCACGTATTCTGAGAATCAGAATCACCGGAAGAAGGAAGGCACTGTAGGGAACGGTCTTTAAATGCGCTCTAGTGAAAATTTCTTTATTTCTGTATTTTAGACTGTTTCTCATCGTTTTTTATGGTTTGGGACCTATTACAGTCAAAAACTCACATAAATCCACACAACTAGCGCCAAAAATGTGGAAAATAACATTTGATTTATGTTACACCTGAGCAATAGGAGACCCAGAGAATAAGAAATTCTTAAAGGTGGGGGGACAGGAGATTTTTCGTAGTTTTTTTGTAGCTAGAGTATGCATTCTACCGCCACGGTGTACAACGATTAATGTCACTCTGCGTACAGATGTCGTCCTCGCCTTTATGTATGCAATCGAGCGTGCGCTTTCTCTTTGCCCGCGTGGCTCAGTCGGTAGCGGCGCCGCACTCTCAATCATCGCCCTCACAAGTTCAACTCCTCGAGGGGCATCATTGAACGGAATTTCGAGACCATTATTTTTTTTCATGTCCCCCCACCTTTAAAGGGGGACTCCGACCAAAAATTTTA